AATTATAGGTCTGTAGAAAACTAGAAACAACCAATTAAGATTCTAATCTTAAACATACAAGTTGCAAAATAAAAAATTGAAAATAAAAAATTCATACAACTGTGAAATAATAGTAATGATTAATATACTTCATAATTGCATTCATACAATTTATACATGCCCATAGAAAAATTAGCAGCCAGGAGTCTAGGACCGTATAAAAAAAATCAATTAAAATTGCTTCAATTGATATTATCAAACCAGAAACATTAAAAAAAAATTAAAATAAAATAAATATCAAAATTTTACCTTTAACCAATAGACAAAGTAGGAATCAATGAAATCAATCATTCAAAAAGCTATCAAAACAATACCCCCAAGTGAAGTTCCAATTGGTTTTTGTTTTTGTTTGATTGTGTATCAATTGAGAATTAGATGAAATAATCATGGAAAATCAAATATAATTAATTGTTCATTGCCAATGTGATAGAAGAAAAAACGTTTGAATTTGACTGAGTATATGTAATTTTCCATTAAAAATTCTTGAATGGAGAAATTATTTTCCATGGAATTGAATTGATTTAATTAAGATACTACGATACTAATTTAAATTGATGAAGGAACTTGGAAAGTTGTAGAAATTAATATGAAGCTTGAATAAAGGGAGGAAAATGTTTTTGATGAAAATAATAGAGTGATTTGCTACATTTAAACTTGACGGCGTTATATATATAAACAAGAAGACTAACAAATACTCCGTATACAATCAATAGTTAAAAATAAAATAAAAAAAATAAAAAAAAAAGGATTAAAAAAATGGGCCCTCTTAAAATTAGAGGCCCTGTGCAAGAGGGAACCTTGCACACCCTCTTCGACGGCCCTGCTCTCTCTCTTACTTTAAACCCCGCTCAACTTATTATACTATTTCTCTCTTTTCCATGGTCCCCAATAAAATAATAAAAATATCTATCTTCTCTCACATACTTTCTCTTTCATGGTCCCCATCTTACTTTTATTATAATAATTTATTCATCCCCTTATAATATTATATTACTCTCCTAAAACTTTGTGCAAACCAAAGTGATGCATATAAAAAAACGGAGGGAGTATGATATATATAAATTGTCGTATGTTAGAACATATTTTTAAGTAAATTAATTAAAATAATCATTACAAGTGGTTCCTTCAAAAAAAAATATCCATACAAATTAATAATAAAAATAATAATAAAAAATAATAATAGTAATAATAATAATATTAAAAAAATAAAAAAAATATAAACTAACCCGTGCATCGCAAATACTTAATTAAAATTAAATATTATTTTATTAATATTTTAAATTAAAAACTAAATAATACTTATCTTTTTTTACATATATGCATGAAAATTTTTTATCGCAAATATCTTTAATCTCTCCCTAGCTAGAAAATATTATAAAAGTTTGATTTTAACAATATATTTATCGAGACGAATAAAATTAAATCTCATATGATTAATTCCCTATAATTTTAATACTAAAAAAATTATAAATGAGACTAACATTTTAAACATAACAAGTATATTAAAAAAACGCATAGGCAAAAGACTTATTTTAATCAATAAAAAAAACGAGATTTCTCATTAATTTTTTGAATTAAAAATTTAAATTGTCACATAAGTAAAATTAATGAATAAAGTTAGTTTGGGATTTTAAATTGAAGCGTCACGTAAAATAAATAAAACAACAAAAGGTAATTTTAGTGTTAAAATTAAAAAATTATCTTATGATATTAGGAATTTTATCCATATATCTAATGAATGATCTTCATAAATATACAAAATTTTAAATTAAATAAAATGATTTATTAGAACCGTGTATCACATGGGCTTACATCTAGTATTGACTATTTTAGACCCACCTTACAAGCTCACCCAAGTACCCCATACAAAACAAAATACAAATTAAAAGGTTCTTTTTCACAAGTTTTCACTTAAAATGTCCTTTTTCAAAAAGTTGACCATTTAAAAGGTCATTTTTCACGATTTTCTCTTATTGTATATATACAATATATAAATTTTAGGATTAACAAAATTATTGTACTTTTCATGCAATTCAATGAAAAGGGAAACAACAAATAACTTTTATTTTCAGCTTGCCAAGTATCAGGAGAGCCTACGGGCTTAGGGTGGGTTTGACCCACCTGTTCCGCCCAGTGGCGGAGCTAGGGTGGGTTCAACTAGGTTCATTGAACCCACTGATTTTTTGAAAAAAATTAAAAACTTTTTTAAAAAAAAAAAAAAAATCAAAATAGGTTTAAATAGAATATTTGTGTATTATATGACAACAAGTAAAGTTGTAGCCCAGTGGTTATTTTTACCTCCCATCACACAAGAGTTTATGGGTTCAAAACCCATAACTCACACTTTTTTTTTTTAATTTTGTTTCCTGAGCTTTCCCTGCTTCCAGCTTTCCTCTTCCTCATTCCCCCAAATTGCAAAACCCTAACTTCTTCCTCCTTCTCTTAATCTCTTCCCGTTCTTCCTCCTTCAGTCCTTCTCTTCCCGTTCTTCCTCCTTCTCTTCCCGGCGCAACACGGCAGCAGTCAGCAGAACGCCAGAACACGGTGGCAGCGGCAGCGCACCAGCCACTCACCCAGCAGGCCAGCAGACCCACCTTCGTCCGTCACAGCACTGACAGCCTCACAGCCGTGTATCGGTGTATGTAGGTAAGTGAATTTGGGGATTTTTTTTTTGCAAATGTAATTTACTTTTCAATTTGGGGATTTTTTTTTGCTAAATCATTGAATACTTGAAATTCATATGCTAAATTGCTAATATACATTATGAATTGCCAATTTTTTGTAAATCGCTGAAGTTTGGTTATAATTATCTAATTTACTTCTCAAGTTCTCAATTTGGGGATTTTTTTTGTTACATTGTTGAATTTCATATGCTATTTTCTGTATTTCGTTTTCTGCCTTCTAGTTTTCATAGTTTCATATGCTATTTCGTTTTCTGCCGTCTAGATTTCGTTTACTAATTGAGTAATTGACTGTAACCTTTAATTACGATAGTTTTAATTAGCTTTCTAGATTTATCATTCATTCATTGATTTCATTCTGCATTTATCATGTGTGTGTAGCAGACTAGCAGTGAAAGGGATTACCAACGTGCTAGCTAAGTTTGCGATTAACGACAATTAACAACAACGAAGACGGAAAAACAAGTAATAAACGAGACAAGGAGAATTTACCGTGGGAAACCCGAGAACCGGGAGAAAAACCCACCAATCCACTATGGAGTAACAATTTGATGAAAAACAATGTATATTACAAGCTTCAATCACCATTAAAGCTCCCACCCAAGCTCACTCTCTCAAACACTCAAACCCTAAGTGTTTGGGTTTACATGAGGCTCTCTCTATCTCTACATCTTTCCCTTCATCACATTTTTTCTCTACAATGACAATACAAGAGTATATATAGTGCTAGAAGATCAACGGCTAAGATTACATCCCGAGCGAAATAAAAGAAATCGCGTCGCTGAACAGGGGCTCGATGGTTCGACCGAACCGTCCTAGAGTTCGGTCGAACATAAGGTGGTTCGGTCGAACATCTCCCTTGGTTCGACCGAACCTGCTCTAGAAATCAAAAGGCTACACATTCTGCCTCAATTACTCAGAAGTTACTAGGTTCGACCGAACCTTTCATGAGTTCGGTCGAACTCCCTCACTGTGCAGACAACTCTTCTTAAAGCAGTCAAAACTCCCTCGATTCTTAACTAAATCAAGCTTATGACCAGGCGTTGGAAAGCTCTTGAGACGAGCTATCACCTCCAACTTGAATCATCTCAATATCACTTCTAGATCTTGAGATATGCCCATTTGAAGTCAGCCCTTTGACATCCACCATTGCTTTACACCAAGCAATAGCCCATAGCTTAATCTCCTAAGCTATGCACCCCCTTAGCCTTCTTGAAACCGTTATCCACACTCTCAAACCCAACAAGCAGTATATACCTATTATACCATGAGTTTAGAGTCATTTTGGAAACGTGCTTATTTGTGTGTATGCTTAAACCCGATCAATTCATTTGCGGCATTTGATATGCAAAAGTTGTTGAGACTTGCTGAGTTATATCCCAAAGAGTTTCCAACTAATGATATGACGATGACTGTACTTCGTCATGAGCTTCAATTTTATATTAATGATGTGCGCCAAGATGCAAGGTTTGGAGACTTGAAGGGTATTCATGAGCTTTCTATGATGCTTGTTGAAACAAATAAGCATACTACTTACAACTTAGTTTACTTGCTTATAAAACTAGCATTGATCCTTCCGGTTGCAACTGCAAGCGTGGAACGAGTGTTTTCCTCAATGACATACGTAAAAAATAAGTTGCGAAATAGTATGGGTGATCAACTATTGAATGATAATTTAGTCACTTTTCTTGAAAGAGATTTATTTTCAAGAGTTAGTGATGATGATGTATTGGAACGCTTCCAAAGTATGAAGACTCGAAGAATGCTTCTGTAGTCTTTTTTTTTTTTTTTTTCATTTTTCTATGTGTAATCTATTTGTAATCCATAGTTTGAACTTATTTATGTACTGAATATTTAATTATTGTATTTTTATTCCTTTGTTAATTATGATTTCAAATTTCGGAAGTTTCGAACCCACACTTCGAAAATCCTGGTGACGCCACTGGTTCCGCCCAAAGTATAGCTTGAAATACCACAAGTGTATCGCTATTTGTCTTACAATAAAATAATGAAAGACCACCTTATTCAAAATTTGTTGAAAAAAAATGTATATTATTGCGTCAGCATTTAACGTCTTGACTGACGTCACTCCAGAATTTTTGAAGCCTATAAATAAAGATTTCTGAGGCTTACTACTTCCTCACTCACAACTCTGTAGTGTGAATAAGGAACAAGGTAAGTTAAAGTGGTTCACTCAATTTATTTATTTTGTTAATATTTTTTAAAACTTCTGAATCTTCCCTCTGCTATCATTATTCCTCTAATTTTGAATATTGCTGTAGCATTCAAGAAGGAATCCAAATCCGAAAGCCTGCTTCAAGTAGCAATCTGAATTTCCAATTATTGAGGTACTGTTTGAAAAGAATACATACTTTATTATTGGATAAAATGTTTCCACGTCTATAATATAAGTACGTATTTTCTCCAATTTATATAATATATATATGTACCACACTTAGACTTAAGTAGTTTCAATTATTCTATGTTCACTACTTCACTAGTATGAAGATTTCTAATGAAGGAAACGTAAAGTCATATGGAGTACTACAATAGATTTTGTTTGAATTGCTTTGGTTCACTCTTTCACAAATTTAAATTTTATTACTTTATGGAGAATTAAAGATAATAGTAAATAAAAGGAAAATTTGTGAGAAAGGTCCTTTTATAAAAAATTATAATAAAAAAAGGTAACACAGAAGGTTCTTATATTATGTTTTGGTTATGGAGAGGGTCATTTGACCAATTTCCGGCGTTGATCAAATTTTTCTGGCTAAAAATAAACTAATCCCAAATCTTCAATTCGTATCACTAAAATTAAAATTGAAGGCCAATCAAATTGGGAAGAACGTACATGAGCCTAGTTACGCGCTTGAATGAGAATATGTGGGACTTGCTTTTCCGTTTTAGGTTGCTCTTCGCCATTTACAAACAAAATTAGCAATTTTCAGTACTTTTAAAGAGACAGACTAAAGAGAGATATATATATAAAAGCCTTACCTAATGAAGAAATGGTGGTGTTAATCTACTGCTGCCAGCCTTCAATTCACCATTAATTCTTCTACTGTAAGAGAAATTAAAAAACGCCATTAATGAGTAGCTACTAGTCACATTAGAGGAGAGCTTAGAGAAAATAAGGGAGGGAAAAAAAAATGGGGAAAAAGAGAAATTGAGGGGAAAAGAGGGAAAAAAAAAAAGAAAAAAACAATTTCATTTAAGTGGTCAATGTCGGACAAATTTGGCCGGAAAAATTTGGTCAACGTCGGCCGAAATTGGTCAAATGACCCTCCCACAACCCCCAGGCCCCAACATGACATAAGGACCTTTTATGTCATTTTTTTAGGAAAATTTGATCAACTATTATTGTCAAAATTGAAAATACCATCTCAAGTTTTTTTTTTAAAAAAGTTTTACCACCTAGTTTTTTCCAAAAGTTTTCGAATTCCCACCTTTTGTGCAACATGACGTCATCATGGGTCCACACTTTCGTTTTCCCTCTCTCTTCCCTCGATTTCCCTCTTTCTTCCCACGATTTCCTTCCAATTTCATCTTTAAATTTGATTTTAAATACAAAAATTTCACAAATTAGGTTATAATTGATACAATCTAACCTACAACGAACTGAATTAAGTAGTTTAATTAGGGTTTGGGTAATCAATTTGGGGGTTTTTGCTCAATTCAAAAAATTAGGGTTTATGAATTGATTAATTGGATAATTAAACATGTAATTGGGGGAAAACATAAATTAAACATGTAGTTGGGGCGAAAACAATTGTAGTGATGATTAATGAATTCATAAACCCTAATTTTACATGTAATTGGGGCGAAAACACTATATTTTATGAATTACATGTTTAATTGCCCGTTTAAATTATGTTTTTACCCCAATTACATGTTTAATTATCTAGTTATTCATCCAATTAATGAATTCATAAACCCTAATTTTTCGAATTTAGCAAAACCTCCAAATTGATTACCCAAACGAACCCTAATTAAACTACTCAATTTAGTTCGTTTTAGGTTAGATTGTAGAATTTATAGCCTAATTTGCAAAATTTTTGTATTTGAAATCAAATTTGAGAGATGAAATTGAAAGAAGGGAATTGAAGAACAGGGGAAATCGAGGGAAGAAAGAGGGAAAATGAAAGTGTGGGTCCCATAATAACGTCATGCGGCAAAAAGGTGGGAATTTGAAAACTTTTAGAAAAACTAGGTGGTAAAATTAAAAAAAAATAATAAAAAATAAAAAAAAATTGAGGTGGTATTTTCAATTTTGGCAACAATAGTTGATGGTAATTATCAAATTTTCCCTTTTTTTTTTAAAAAAAAAAATTTAAATTTACAAGGTGGATCACTTTAAAAGACCTTCCTTACAAATTTTCCTAATTAAAATAATACATTTGAATCATCGTCAATATTGGAAAACTTTGACGTAGCTATTGTGAAATTGTTCAATAATAACATTATTTTGTGAATGCAGATGGAAATCATCCATCAACAATCAGAAACAACAATATTGTTGGATCAAGAGGAAATCTTAATGCAAAAAAAGTTGGAGTCATCGTCTTCTGCTTCCTCTGATAAGTGTTGCATCTATAAGATTCCTGAATTTATTCTAAAGGGAAACGAAAAACATTACAAACCATCAGTTGTGTCAATTGGTCCAGCCTACTACAAAGATCAGTCTCTAGAAACCATGCAACACATAAAATGGATATACTTGAAACACTTCCTAATACATTCCCAAAATGTTAATAAAAATCGCGGTTTGAAGGATTTCATCAACTATGTAAAAGGTTCTAACGGGAAAATCTGTGGCCAGTACCAAGAACAAATAATTTTCCCTAATGAATGTAATGATTTCGTGGAAATGGTGGTGCTCGATGCTGCATTCCTGGTCTATTTGTTCTTAAACAATTGGTGTCCGAATAAATGGCCTATACCAATAAACCAACCCGGACTAATGCCTTACATAAATAAGGATTTATATCTTCTGGAAAATCAGCTTCCTTTTTTTGTTCTCCAAGATTTCTTTGACTTAGCATTTGGTAATGTTTTCCAACCTTTTATTAATTTTACTCTTGCTTACATACATAATCACACAAATTTCCCCGGAGTTAAGGCTATTCATCATTGTATGCATACGAATAAAATAGATGCATCAACCATCAACCATTTGTTAGACCTAATGAGGACATGCTGCTGCTTACCTTGTAATCTACTGCCACGAAACCAATTAAATCTTCCCAAGGACACCTTTCCTAGCACCGCCAAAAGACTGTTTGATGCCGGAGTTAAGTTTGAGGTACAAGACAGTAGTGACAGTCCATTGAACATCACATTTGAGAAGGGGAAGTTAAAGATTCCGAAGTTAGTGTTAGACGATTTCACCGAACCTTATTTGCGGAGCATCCTATTTTTCGAACAATGTCATTATTCCAAAAACTCATACATCATTGACTATATCTTTTTCCTTGATGAGTTGATAGACACTGTAGAAGACGTTCAAGTACTTGATCGCAGTGAAATCATCCAGAATGATCTTGGGAGTGATGAAGACGCAATAAAATTCATCAACAAAATCACTGCAAATGTAAATTTAGAATGCAAATTTTATTACTCAGGTATTAGCAGAGATTTGAATGAGTACGCTAAGACCCATTGGAATCGATGGTTGGCGATTTTGAGGAGAAATTACTTTAATCACCCCTGGGCAAGTTATATCTGTGATCGCTGCAATCGTACTTTTTGTTCTTAGAAATGTAAGTCCTAGCTTATTCTCTAAAAGTGTTGTACTATACTACTGTATGATACATGTTTTTTTTTTTTGGTGTTTAGAGAGCCACAAGGGCAGGGATGAGAATCGATCCCTAAATCTCCTGAAACCGGGAGGGAAGCTCTAACCACTTGAGCATGTAATTGTACTTCTATTGTGTATTGATTAGTGTTATGTGATTGATTCAAAATAGTTGTGCCAAATTATTAGGAGTAGTAGTTACGTGTACTTGGTCATGAATAAAGGCTTTAGGAGTATGTTATTAGTGGGTCAATAAATTTGTTTATTAGTCAACTGCATGTTTATTATAGTTGAGAAATATTAGGAGATAGTGGGTTTGTTTCTTTTAAGCATATTTTGTTAGTGGAGTCATGCTCCTATTATTAATAAGTTATTAGTAATATAAGTATTTGTTAGAACTTGTCAATGCTTTAATAGCTGTAATGATGAGCTTGTGGCCTGAACTTTTTGAAAAATTTACTAATGTTTATAAGAATTTGTGATGTGGGAAAGATACAAAATTTACCCAATAAAATGATTAAAAGTCACATTAAAACCGAATAAAAATTAAATATGACGTCAAATTTCATAAACGATCTACATCATCTACCTTTAAAGTTACATAAAATAAGTAGCATTTTGAAATATTGAAATAAGTAGGAAAAAATTAATTCTAATACATAGTACGTACTATGAATATAATCAGAGTCTCTTATTGATAGTGTTGATATCTTACTTACCGATTTAAGACAATACTAAAGCTAAATATGCGTTTCAGCACGAAAGATAGAACTAGCTATTTATCTAGTCAGTGTAACTTGCAATAGTTTGTAATAGAGTAAGAACAAAAAGTATGAATGCAGCGATCACAGATAAAATTACCCACGGATGATTCAAGTAATTTCTCCTCAATATAGCCATCCATCGATGCCAGCGGGTTGAAGCATAACCGTTCACAGCACTGCACACACCAGAGTAATAATAATCGCATGACAGATTTAAGTGTTTGCCAATATTGTTGAAGAGTTTTATAACATCTTCATCACTTCCTAGATAATTACTGAAAATTTTGTTTTTGACCAGTACTTGCACGTCTTCCACGGTGTCTATCAGTTCATCAAGGAAGAATATATAATCGATGAAGTAAGAATCCTCGGAATAATGACATTGCTCATAATATATCATGCTCCGAAAATAAGCTTCAGTATGATCATTTATTTCCAATTTCGCAATCTCTAACTTCCCTTTTCTAAATGTTATATCCAATGGATTTTCACTTTCACCCGCCACAAATATAACTCCGGCGTCTTTTAGTTGCTTAGCAGTGTAAGCAAGATGGCAATTTCGACCATCAACAACTTCCCTCGTCTTCTTGACATAGCGTTGGCACAGCCGATTGTTACATAGCAGTAGCAACGATGAACGGATGCACGACGACATAGCCTTGTGTATATAAACTATGTATAACTTTGAATTAACTGTTTGATCTATTTTGGACTCGTTACGCAATGGTGTGCTCAAAGAAAGACAACAAGACATCCTCTGGAGATCTAATAGATGTTTAATGTTCGACTCACTGACAATTTTCTTACCATCAAGTATACTCTTGATAGCCTTAACTCCGGGAATTCTAGTCATGCATATGTTTGCAAGGGTGACAATAATTATGGTATTAGCTCCATAAACATCACCAAATGCCTTGTAAAATATGCCCTTAACAACAAAAAAAGGGAGTTGATTCTCTAGTAGAAATAAATCTTTGCTTAAGTACGGCATTAGTCCTTGTAGCTTTTTCTCTATACAAGGGTTAGGAAACATACCACTTCTGCACATGAAATGATAAACCAAGAAGACAGCATCGAGCACAACCATTTCGATAAACTCATGGTTAGGGATACGGATTTGTTGCTGATATGAGCCGCGGATTTCTCCTTCCTTTTCACTTACAAAATTGATATAATGCTCCAAGCTTGGACAAGCATTGTTGGGATTGTTAAGAAAGTAATTCAAGTAAATCCACTTAACCTCTTGCATGGTTTCTAAATTCTTATCTTTATAGTAGATTGGACCAATTGACATGACCGAAGGCCGATAAAATGCTTTGTTTCCCTCCAAGATAAAGGCGGGAACCTTATAAATGCAACAGTATCGGACACCTTATAAATGCAACAGTTATCAGAGATAACAAAAGGCAAGGATCCTAACTTGTTTTTCATTGAAGTTGCCACCTTATTATTCTTTTGATCTGGCTTTGTTAGAGTTTTGTTTTCCATCTGCATTAATGTGATTAATCATACAAGGTAAGTATATGTCTTTTTTCCAAATTAAATAAAAATACTGCTATACGTAGTCCTTAAGGTTACAAACAAACTTATCGATCTATTTGTGTTTTCTCTTACCTATTGCTATCTTCACCATATTTACACCTTAAAAAAAAACGACGAAAAAGTGTAAATATGGTGCAAATAGAATATTTACACCTTTTCATTTTTATTTTTATTTTTTAATTATTATAACACCCACAAGCATTTTTACTCATGCTTGCTAATGCATCTTTGAAAATATATGCTCCCCATTCGTTTTTATTTGTTATATTTTGCATTATGAGAGATTCCATGGCAAATTAATGATATCTATTAATGACATATATTACTTTATTATGTTTCAAAAGTTCAAAACATTTTTGTCATGCGAGAACTTTAAATATATACACCGTTAATAACTTTTTAATAAAGGTATATAAAGTTAATATTATAATAATATATTATGACGAATTTAACAAGATCGCACATGACTAATCTCTATTATACAGAATAAAGGAATAACACATAACCAATCGCTTAGTGCACTCATCATTTTCTAACTTATATAGAAGGCTAATTAAAATCATGATTAGTTCATCTTATATGATGTGAATTTTTCTAACCTATTAGTGATGGAAGGGGTATGCATTAATAGACTTTATAAGACTACTGAAGTAGATAGCAATTCTTAAACAGTATTACACTATTGCTAATAATTAATATACTATATGTAAAGAGAGAAATCAAGATTTGAGTAGCCAAATAAATGTTATACCAAATAAATGTTATAAAATGAAAGAGAAATAATAAACGTACCAGATAATATCAGGAGCTCAAGAGTTACTTAGTTATACCACGGAGCAAACTAATACAACTAAAGAGAAAGAGATAAAGTAGCAAGGTATGTAGGAGGAATCAATGAGATGAATTCTTCCTTCTTACTGTATTTAAAAGGACATGATTACAGCTTAATTAAATTTTTTATTAATATTTTTAAGTTATAGTACTTGTTTGCATTAATGCGGCATAACTAGAGTGTGGACTTAATTACTTCGTATTATTTAAGTTCTATACCCATTCAACTTATTGAGATCTATGTTCAATAGTAATACTCGGTAATTTTTTATTTTATTTATTATTATTTTTTTTTTATCCCTTAGAGTTGACTATAAGTTTTTTTGTTTTTTTTTTTGAGGAAAGACTATAAGAATTTGATTACCTTGTACATTTTCTAAATTGGTATCCTGTATGGCTGTATTTATTTCATCTCTTTAAAGTTTTTTTTAGTGTTATTTATTTAAAGAGGCTTGACTTAAATTACCATAAGATCAGTAAGTTTCAACTTAAAGCTCTTCTTGCTCGAATGATAAGAAAAGAAACAAAAACTTAACATGAAACAATTTTGTAACATAGATAATGGTATTTATAAATTGGTAAAGGGTGAAATTCTAAAACAATGTACTTCGTATATAATAATGTTATAATGAAGAGGGAGATAATGGGTTTTCATTTTTGGGTGAAATATAACTTTTATGTAGAAAAATATGTAGTAAGTGATTTTTTTTTTTTGCAAGAAATCACCTTGTAATTTTTTTTTTCAATAACACACCTTAATCAATTTTGTTTGCAATGATACACCTTAAACAATTTTTTTTTTTTTTTTTTTTTTTTTTTTTTTGCAATGACACGCCTTTGGCCGAAAAAGAGGGTTTAACCAAATTTTCCGGCGTTGACCTGACCACGTGCGAGGGACGTTACCTCTTAAAACTACTCTCCAACTATCCCAACCACCAAAACACTACCGAAACCTCATTACCCACCCACATATATCGCCTTACCTACCCCACCACCACCGAAACTACTCTCTCGATCTGGTGGCATAGGTTGGAAAGTGATTTTAAGAGTCACGTGCCTCGCACGTTGTCGGGTCAACGCCTGAAAATAGGAACAAACCCTCTTTTCCTGTCAAAGGTGTGACATTACAAATAAATTTTTGATTAAGGTATGTTATTGCAAAATAAAATTTATAAGGTGGTTTCTTGCAAAAAAATCACTTATAAAAGGTAAATTTTGCAAAATTTCCAAATATTTTATGCATCCTTTTTTCAGAAAATATTTAGAATGTTTGATATGCATTAGTATCATTTTACATTAATTGCTGTAATCAGTAAATAATTAAGCATAATACTTGCATACATATTTTCTAATCATCATAATAGTCAACCCTGGCCTTACTCGAGATTAGTAAAATCAAGATCCAATAGAAATCCACTTCTTTTTCAATGCTAGCATAGTAATGAAAGACTTAAATTAAACAATTGAGTCTTAGTTTATTATTACAATCGCAATTTCTTTCAGCTTGAATAGCGGATCACTGCCGCATTACATTATATTCAACAACTTCAAAAGTCTAAACAATGATATACCAAGTCTTGTTTATGATCAGTTAATCTCCAAAAGTCTAAACAAGAAGTGTAATCTGATATTTTTGTATTAAAAAATCAAATATTTTGTACCAAAATATTTTGGTGCCTAATAATTTTTTTTTTTTTTGGGTTTTTTCATTTTTACCACCTTCAAATAATGACTTTGTCGAATTTACCACCTCCAAAAAAAAAAAACATTTACTTTACCACCTCATAAAAAAATTAAACATCAGTTTTACCACCTCATCTGAGCTCAGGTGACGGAAAACGCTTGTGGGGCCCAGCATAACGTCTAGTTTTTGATTTTTTCCCAAATTTCTCTCGATTTCCCTTTTATTTAAACCTAGTTCTTCATTTGCACACCAAATTCTTGCAGATTGGAGATTAATTTTTGCAATTTTCTTCACAAATCAGTATTTTTGGGCAACCTTAACAATCCCAAACCCTCTAATTATCAAACAATCAATTGAACTCCTCGACAACAAGCATCAAATAGGTAAGCCATTGTCGTTAATTCTCTAGCAATTTTCGTGATTTCTGTTGTAATTTTTTGGCAATTCGTTGCGTGATTATGTTGCATTTGCTAAGAGTAATTGAAATTGGGCGTTTTGTGAGGTCAATTAAACCCCAATTTGAATTAAAATACTTAGGGTTCATGTAAGATTAAATTAGATTGGGGGTTTTTGTTATGTGAATTGGCTACTGAAATTAGGGTTATATTATGGTGATTGTGTTCAAATACAATTAATTTCATTCTTGTTCTTACTGAATTTCAGAAGGGAATGTCTTCAGTTAGCATGTCACCCTCAAAGGAGAAAAAATGCCAATGTAGAGTTCCAATGTCTAGGCTGACTGCTTGGACTAGGGAGAACCCAGGACGCAAGTTTAGGACCTGCAAATTCTATGATCCTGTGACTGAGTCAAGGGGGTGTAAAGCTTTTGAGTGGGTGGATCAACCAGATGGAACACCTTGGCAAACAGAGGTGATTAACAACTTGCTGCTGGACAAGAAACTAATGAAGGGAGAGCTGAATGACATGAAGAGGGAAGTTGATGATGTTAGTGGACAAAGGAGGTGCTTGCTCAATGAGATTGACAACTTGAAGATGAAATGCAAAGCTCTTAGCTCAGACAGGAAGAAGATGATCAAGGAAGTGCATGGCAGCAATGCAACAACAAAGAAAATGCTCACAGTACATGCTATTGTTGTGTTTTGTTGTTTTGGTTTGGTACTAGCTATGTATTTTAGATCTTAGGTTCATTTAGGAATGCTTAGAAACAAAAAAAATCCCCAACTTATGTTGTGTTTTGTTGAATTATTATGTGTGGATGTTGGGATGACATTTCTTGTACTACTTTTAACAAAATCAATGAGAAATGGAACTTTTTGGTAGAAACATATCACAATTCGTATTAGTACTTGCAACACAATGTTTGAAATTGTTTTACATTGGCTGAGACAAAAGTTAAGGCACCTTTGTGCAAAATCATTGTTCAACTATCATTGTTCAACTACCAAATAAACTTGGTTGTCCATTACAAAATACTAATGAGTAGACCTAGGGTCACAGTTGATTGAGATCCTTGTCCTTCTTGCTTGTCATTACATGAAGCTTGGACCTGGTCTGTATTTTGACTTTGGGAGGAGTAGTTGTTGGCACTCTTGTGGGCTGACTCAGGCTCCTGTTGCTCCTGGTAACAGGCTGAGTTGGCAAAGGCTCTGTTCTTGTTGCAGGCTGGCTTGACACAGCAGTTGCAGGTGCAACATTACTTGACCCAGCCTGTGCTGTTGTTGGAGGCTGATATTGTGGCAACTTCAGTGCAGCCTGCAATCACAGTATGACAAGACTCAGAAACAAAGCCACTAAATACACTCAAGTCACAAAATACACAAAATACCTGTCTTGCTGCTTTCTCTTCACTTTTCTTTCTCTGTTCCTTAAGCCAAGGAGTCTGCATCTGTGGCCTCCCACCCTTTGGATTTGTTGCAGGTGGGTTAGGCTGTTCTGGTGCTGCTTCAGCCTTGCATGTTTTGGCAAAGTGGCCAAACCCACCACAGTTCTTGCATTGTTTCATCACCTTTGGCTTCTTGCCCTCAGGTGCTGCAGAAGTGCCCTCCCCTGGTTCAAGCTTTCTCTTATTTGCCTTAGGTCTTCCTGGCTGCACTTTCAGCATAGGTGGCAAAGGCTGTCTGAGCTTGACCTTTTCCCAATTCTTAGGGCCAGGCATTGGCTGTATTGGGTTCTCATATGCAGCCAAGTATGTCACCCTATAGTAATGTGGGTGCACATACAACTCAGGATCATCCCTTTTGTCCATTATGCAAGCAAATGCATGGACACAAGGTATTCCTGTCAACTCCCATCTATAACAAGTGCATTTTCTCTCTTGCAGATCCACAATGCACTGATCATCCTTGTATTTCACCTCATAAATTTCATCCCTTGAAGCTGTAACCCCACATGTCATGGCATACTTCTCCAACCCATCAAAGACTTTGTTGACAAATGGGGTTAGTAAACCTTCCCAAGACTTTGCTGCCTCCCATTTGTCATTACTCCTCTTCATCATATATCTTCTAAGCCATTCCATTTGAGTTAGAATAGGCTTGTCTCTGGCATCTCTAATCACTGCATTAAATGTCTCACACATGTTGTTTAACAACATGTTAGACTTGCAGTTTGTAGAGAAAGCATGCCTTGACCAGTGCTGGGGGTCAATGTTTGACAACCACTGGTATGCTTCTTCATCCAAAAAATTGATACTTTCCATAGCAAC